CTGTCACAGCCCATCTGGATGTGTGCACTCTTGCAGAAGTGCTGATAGGCCAGCTCCCTGCTGCCTGGGCCCTCCTCTGGCCTTTGGGTCCTGATGAGCATGGGAGGGAGGAAAGCCGAGGGAGCACTGAGGGCAACTCAGCACTGGCCTGCAGACACCTCTTGGCATGAACAGCCTGGGCGCCGTGAACAGCAGCAGGAGGTGAAGCTAGACCATGGGCAGAAGGGAGCAGGTCCTCAGTGAAGCCCCACCTTCAGTCCAGGAAGGGCCTGAAGGTTGGGGGCCGACTAGTCCTGCGGACCACAGTAGGAACTTGTGGTGCCTTTTCTGGGCCTGCCTATGGCCGCCCATGGTCCAGTTGGTGTGCACTTCCTCCCCTGAGGCCCATAAAAGCCCCCAGATCAACCAGAGCTGTGCAGACATCAGGATGACCTGCTGCAGGGAGGAGCTACTCACTCCGGGGCCTACTCTCTGCTGAGAGCTGCAGACATCAGATGACCTCACTACAGAGAGGAGCTCCCCACCCAGGACCTGCTCTGAGCTATTCTGTCACTCAATAAAGCTCCTCTTCGCCTTGCTCACCCTCCATTTGTCTGTATACCTGATTCTTCCTGGACACGGGACAAGAACTTGGGACCTGAGAGATGCAGGGGCTGAAAGAGATAACACAAACAGGGCCGAAACGCTTCGCCTTCTCACCGTGTTATGTGTGAAAACAAGGAGAGAAGAGCTGTGGCCCTTCAGGGAACTGAGACCTGGAAGCGCCCCGAGGCAGGGCTGTGACTCCCTCTTTGGACCTCTTAGGTTCCTGTAGTCTCAAGCTTCCAGCCACCACTATGTTTCCTGGTGGCAGCCGTGGAAGCTGCTTGTGGTGTGCCCGGTCCGGCTGCAGCCTTGCAGAGAGCTGGCGCCTGTGCAGACACCTGCTGCTGGCTGCCCCACTGCAGCAGCCAGTGTGCCTCACTGTGTGCAGTGGCTGGACCCCATGCTCGCTTGCTCACACACCCCTCACTGCTCCACACCTGGCTCGCCGTCGGCAGTTACGGGATCCAGGCGGGTAGCGTCAGCCGAGCACAGCCTGCTCACCCCAAATGGGTGAAGCAAGCCCAGTGGGCTAGAGCAGAACTCGGGCAAAGGCGCCGCCAGCCACAGAGGCTTCTGGCCAGAAAAGCAACACACCGAGGATCCTGCAACAGTAGTTTTACAAAGTGTTTATTTTGTCATATAAAAATCTGGTTTTTAGTATTTGCAAAAATAAAATTACGGATAAAGTTTTTCAGTAGTGTTTATTTCTGTATTTATACAATAGAAATTCAAGTAAATATCTTTCAGTGAAAAATACATTCATTTGTTTCTTCACTAAATATTAGGTATGTTTTGTGTATGAGAAACTATGATAGTTCCTGGTTTTATATTGATGAACAAAACAGAAATGGATTCTGTACTCAAGGATCTCAGCATCTGTTGGATATGATGGATATATTTACCCTGATTGATCATTACACATTGTATGCATATATCAAAATGCCACATTTACCCCGTAAATAGGTCAATTAATATGTATCAATAAAATGCCTATTTTGCAAAAAGAAAAGGCTCAGGAAAAAGAAATGTAGTATTGGGTGATATATGAAGCAAAAACAAATATAAAATTACACGTTCTGTTTAGTGTAATTAAGCAAAGAAATGGAGCAAGAGAACAAAGAGACTTGAATGATCTATGCATAGTCAGAAATGGTCACTTGATGGGAAAGACATTAAAGGTGAACTCTCAAGAATAAGCAGGAGCCAGCCATGTTAGGAACAGGCAGGCAGCATTCCAAGCAGAGACAATGGCATATGGGAAGGCCATGAGGCAAGAAAGAGTCTGGAGAAGAGAGGCAGCGTGGCCAGAGAGTGGTGTCCACGGAGTATGTATCCGCAGATTTTGATGGCTGACTGGATGAGTGGATGATCGCAAAAGCCAACTTTCAATGGTAGAAGTGCAGAATAGCTTTCTCCACCTGTAGGACGGTTGTTCTTTCATCTGCTACACCCTGTGGCTTCTCATTCCATTTCACTGTGGGCTGGGATTTGTCTTATTTACCTGTCCCTTCATAGAATGTTAAAGAGATTTAATAATCTTTAAAACTATTGAGTTAAAAATAGATGAAGACATCAAATAGTCACCTGGCAGTTGAGAAAATTAAAATAATTGGGAGAATATCTTAGGAGCTGATTCTCTCAGAGGCTGAGGTTTTCCTCAGAGAGCCGGTGGTAGGGTGTGTCCTTTGCATTATGAGCACCTGAGAGGGGAGGTGTTGCTAGTCAAATGCTGCATCTTTGACTGATCCGTAAACCTAACACATACTAAGTTATCTGCTCTCCCTCTTTCGCTTTTTCTGTGGACACAAATATTAAGTTCCTGGATGATGCCTCAGACCACAAACTATCTATCAAGATGGTGATGGAATTCTAAGAAATTTTATGAGTTGGAGTGGCTGCAGTTAATCTTAAGTAAGACATGTGAAAATAGGTTGTAAACCTTTTACCCTTGATGTTTTGGCAGGTTTCAAAACTTTGAATTTAATTCTGAGTGTTCTAAAGTTTCTTGCATTCCCTCAACCTTTCTTTTAAAAGATGCTAATTTTATGAGGGCTGATCATTTGAGGTTTTATTTGTCTGTCATCCCGCCCATGGTGCCAGAAGGAGTGTGCTTTTAATCATGCCACTCATTCCTTCAGCAAATTCTTTTTCAGTGCCATATTCCTCTCTGCACTCCTTGCTGATCATACGGAAGGAAATAAATGTTGTCCTTGTAAAGCATAAGACCTGGTATGGGAGACAAACATTAAGCAAATAAACAAATATATAAAATTAGAGGTTGTGTTAAGTGCTGTGAGGAAAAGTAGAGGGTATTGTGAGAGAGAATAACTTTGTTATCCACTTTGGATTGGGTCACTGGGGAGGGATTTCTTTGTAGTTGGTTTAGATGTAACTGAAAGATAAGGAGTCAGCAAAGGGAATAGTGGGGTAATGGGAGGCCCTAAGGCCTCTATCCCCCACAGATGTTAATTATTTTTATCTTAAAATGGAAGATTATATGTGTAATTGAGCTCTAGCTTACTGTTATTCACAACTTGAAGTGGGTTGTGTTCCAAAACAAAATCATGATTTGCTGAATTACTGTTTGGATTGTGTTAGAAGGTATGTATTTCTCTGCCTTTAAGTGTGGAAGAGATAAACATGAAATGAGCAAAAAGTGACTAATTTATCCAGTGTATAATTATTGTGTGTTTGCTTAATATAGCTTTATCTTTTAACGTTTAATGCTGATAATTTAAGGAATCTTGGGTTGCTGGAAAAAGTAAAAGCTAGATGCCTCTAACACTGTTGGATGTTGCAAAGTGAGGAAAACCCATTGCAGACAGGCCAAGAAAAGTTAAAAAGAAGCTGAAAGATGAAAAATATGATGGAAAGAGGGCTGGGTGGTCAGTTGTGGTAACATGCTTTTAAAGTAATTTTTTTTTGAGATAGGGCTCTCGCTGTGTCGCCCAGGCTAGAGTACAGTGGTACAGTCATAACTCACTACAGCTTTAACCTCCTGGGCTCAAATGATCCTTTCACTGCAGCCTCCCAAATAGCTTGGACAACAGGTGTGCGCCACCGTGCCCGGCTATTTTTTTTTTTAATATATTTTGTAGAGACAGGATTTCACCGTGTTGCCCAGTGATGCACCCACCTCAGCTTCTCAAAGTGATGGGATTATAAACATGAGCCACCACTCCTAGCCAAAATTTTTATTTTATTTTATTTTCCTGTAATTAGAGTTAAATATGAAGTGGTTACATGCTTTTAATATCTTTACATGATCTTATTACATCATAATTAATTCAGTGCTTATATGTGAAAATGTCTGCACTGAAGAATCTCAAAAACTTTTTTTTATACTTGATCAGATTTGGTATAATTTTATCTTATGCAGAACATATTTGCTAACGATTAGTTTGGGAGGCTTGCTGTGTTTCACTTGCATAATAGATGTGTGGCTGGGGAACCAGCTCAGAGACAAGCTCTCTACACTTCCTGAAGTTCTTTTTTTGTTAAGTCTTCTGAGAGCCAAGGAAAGTTATGCCAACTCCTTGTTTTAAACATTTTAGAAAATTGCAAAAGCACAAGGTAGACAGGGTTGATGTTTGTTTAGAAATAATATTTTTAAAAAATAGGAAGTTCATTTTCATGTGTTTTCTGTGTTAAAGACCAAAAGTACCTATGATTGTCTGCCTTCAGGGAAGGAGAATATAAAATAAAAATAAAAAGCAATCCTAAGTGAAAACAGTTCTTCACTTTCTTCCTTATATAGTCAGAAAAATAGTTTCATTTTTCTTTTAAGCCTGAAACCTGTGATTATATTATTTTGCTTTTGTTTTTCATGTCAGTAGCCATTTTAAACTACCTTTGTCTTTCATATGATCATTTAAAAATAATGTTTCACTGAATTTTGAATGCTTATAAATGATTCTGTATATTTGTTCAGGTCTTCAGCTTATTCAATCAAAATTAAATGTGTTTTCCATGTAAATCCAATTGACAAAGCCTTGTTATTTTAGTAAGATATTTATGCCCTAAAACAAAAGTGAAGGGAACATAAAATAGATATATAAGCTTAATGAGGGATGAAAGCTTATATTATTTTGATGAAAGGATTATCTTTTATTAGAAATGGATTGAGTGATAGTGTTTCTGACCATATTTTATTTTGCACTCAACCTTACAAATGTGTGCGACAACACTGTTAATTGTGTCATTAAAAAAAGATCGTAGGTCAACTGATTAGAAAGTACTATTATGCTATTTTTTTCTAGGTGCCATGGCCAAAACTGTATATTATCATAACCTATTGTTGTCTATGCTGTTTAACAATAAATGATAATATATTTACACGGTTATATTACACATGTATTTAACAATCTAAGTTCATAGTACTTGAATATAAAATAACAATTTCATATGTTTTGCAGAAAACGCATGTTTCAGAAGAGATGGGTGAAATTTGATGGCCTTAGCATTTCTTACTACAATAATGAGAAGGTAAATACATTTTACAGTTTTCAAAAATTGCTTTTTTATGCATGCTAGGTGTACTTCAGTAAAGTAAGCAAGCAGTTTGGTTTTTAAGAATAGGAAGTGGATTCTCAACATGAAAATAATTTGAAGTTGCAACTAATAAATATTGTACCATATGCTTAGTTAATTAAAATCAGATGATTTTTGACTTAAGTATGTACTTTCTCTTAACACACTAATTTTAAGATTTAACCACATGCTTTTTTTTTTTTGTAGCTCTTAATCTAATGATTTTTGACTTAAGTATGTACTTTCTCTTAACACACTAATTTTAAGATTTAACCACATGGTTTTTTTTTTGTAACTCTTAATCTAACATTATTTTCTCATTATTTAGAGATTTTCACCCCCTAATATTGGCAATACCTATGGTTCTAATAGAAATTTAGGCATCTTCTTACATATTGCTTCTTTATTGCTGCAGGATAGAAGAATATATGCTTTTAGACAGACAGTAACACATAGTGCAACATAACACACACTGTATGCCCTATGACTGAGAATTATGGAAGATATAGAGAGGTGTTAATTGTTTGGTTTCACTTTGCAGTGACTCAGAGCATCAAATGGGTATAAACACACCTCTTGGAGGTTTACAAGATGGTTGGATGAATATTTTTGAAAAACTGTTGTGTGTTTTTTTTTTTTTTTTTTTTTGGAGACAAAGTCTTGCTGTGTTGCCCAGGCTGGAGTATAGTGGCATGATCTTGGCTCACTGCAGCCTCTGCCTCCTGGGTTCCGGCAATTCTCCTGCTTCAGCCTCCCAAGTAGCTGGGATCACAGGTGTGCACCACCGTGCCTGGCTAATTTTATAGTTTTAGTAGAGACAAGGTTTCACCATGTTGGCCAGGCTAGTCTCAAACTTCTTATCTCAAGTTATCTGCCGCCTTGGCCTCCCAAAGTGCTGGGATTACAGACATGAGCTACCGTGACCAGCCTTAAAAGCTGTTTTCTGTTTTAGCTTTTTTTTTTTTTTTTTCTAGTTTGCTTGTATATTTGAATGTTAAGACAATTCGTTCCCTAGGGTGAGGAGAAGGTAGTCTATATAGCTGACAGAATCTCACTGCTGGTTTTCTCCATCACCTGTAACCTTTTCTGGTTTGATTGAAATGAGGAGGAAAACTACTCAGAAGCGAGACAGGCTTCCATGCCATAAGACTGTTGTTGGTGATACCATTATTTTCATTTGACATAATTTCTAGTAACTGTGTCAAACTGGATTCTTTTTCCCTCTTTCTCTCAGTTTGTTCTTTTAAAGCTCATCTGAACTGCAGTGAAGAGATGAGGACCTCTCACGTTTTTAGTTATTGATGCAATGAAAATGATGAAGCTTGGTTTGAAATTGAGATTAAAGAGTTCATATAAAAATGAGATATTGCAAATCATTTAGCTTAATATTAAAAAGTTTAAGTTGTTATTTTCTTTGACATTTCATCCATTTATTGTCTAGATGGTTGGTTTCATTTTGGCAAAAAACAGAAACACTGGATTCAGTGTTTCCTAAAAGGAGGCATGGTTTCTATTGTAACTCTTCTAGCGAAAGGGATGCATAGGTGTGGCCATAGCCGCTATCGTGGCTGCGTGACCCAGTGTTAACAGCTGTGTGAACTGAGCACAGTTCTTTTAATGTTTAAATGGGCACTTGAGGAGCATGTGGTTGGGCCTTCGGGAGGTAGTGTGCAGAGTTACACATTCCCTAGGTTTCTTCCACTTTCCTTGAGGCCGCCAATCATGTCTCTGTAAGGACTTCTTCATTATATCACAGAAAATGGCATGATCCAAACAACCCTGATATTTCATCCCCTGTAAAGAAATCTAACTCACCCCCGTTTTCACCCAGCTGTGGCAGAATTGCCCTGTGATCGTTTCATTGTCTCAAAATGGTAGATAAATGACAAACTTGACCTAGATATCTGTGTGTTACAGGCTCAAAGGATGCCTTAAAATTTCTTTCCTTAAGGAAAATTTTATACTCTGAAAAACACAGGCATTGTGAGCATTGTTGTCATTTGAGTATTTTTTTTTTATTGTCTTTATCTTGTACTGTTGCAAGACAAATACAAAAATCAGTTCTACAATGTTAAAAATTACAAGATTTTTCTTGGGATCTCAGATTTTAAATGAGCCATTAGATAAACTACAACTTTCTATGGTTATAGTGACATAGTATTTTGCTTATTAAGTATATTTTGATCACCTCTGGGGAATTATGTTTTTATATTATTCTACCAGAAATATTTGCTTGTTAAATATATCGTTATAGGTGTGTAGGTTATTTATTAAGGAATTGTCTTCTCTTTAACAGGATCTATTGGAAAGATAATCTTTTTTTGATCCCTGTTTCTTTCAGTACAGTGCTACTTGACTTATTTCTAGTGACAAAATGGGTTACTGTTAACATTTTCCTCAACAAATAGTTAATTATCTCACTAGAGGGATACTGCTATAAGTTCCTTTAATTCTTATGCAAACTACAATTTGGAAACAGATCACGTAGGGGATAAACTGTAAATGTTTTTAGGCATTCTAATTCCTGCTGTCTGGTCTCAGCCACTACAGACTTAGAGGAGAGGGGTTTTTACACTGTCCCCAAAGATACCGTGCCCTTTCCCACCTCCTTAGGTTGACCGACAATGGAAAGATGTTACCTTCCTCTTTTGAGTTTCTAGAGCACTTATTGGTCTAGTTTTGGCCTTGTATTGCCATTTTAACCTACTTGCGTTTGTAGGGTTTGCTTTGTTAAGCCATTCATGTCATGTGTCTCTGCCTAATGATCTTTTTAAACAGTGACTGAGTATACACTATGGGAAACTGGAGCATGTCTTTTCCTACATGTTCCCCTTGTGTTTTTGTTCTTCCGTCTGAGACTCCCTAGCCATTGCCATCCATCAACATTCTCTGCAGACATCAGACCCATCTTGTTATTCACCTCCATGAGTTTTTTCTTTATTTTCTCCAACGTATGACATTTGAAAAACAATATGCAGGAAAATTCAGAAGGAAAACAAACTGAAACTAGGGAGGCAAATCCGGAGACTGTTGCACTAAGCCAGGTGTTAATTTATTAGCATGTAGACTAATGTATAGGCTCAGTGGAGGCTCAGCGGAAGTGATAAGAAATGAATTTCAAGAAATATTAAAAATGAGCCATTCAGAAAATATTTCTATGGTATTAGCTACGTGAAAGGTGGTGAGGAACATAGATAAATGACCTGAAGCCTATTTGGGGAGACTATATTAATCAAATGATCACACGGGTAAATATAAAGTCACCGTTTAAATTACAATGAATAATTTTTATAAAGGAAAAATTCAGGTTGCTATTAGCTTAAATTCGGGTTATCTATGAGGATGAGGGGCCTGAGAGATTGTGCTGGTCAGAGAGGCTTTCTTCAGGAGGATATATTTATGCTGAAATATGAAGGAGGAGGAGGCAGTAAGTATGTGCAGATGGGTGTGAAAACAATTCCTTGCAGAGCAAACAGTGTATGCAAAGGCACTGGCTTGGGTAGAAATGTGATATATTCAGGAAACCTCAAGAAAACCAATGCGACAGTAATTCAGAGTTGGTGAGTGGTGGGGAGGAAGCTGATTCTAGATGTGGGGAGAATGCAAGTTATGTGGGTGCAAAGGAACCAGCAAAGGTCAAAGATGACTTCATTCTATTTCAGATGGACTAGAAGAGTTGATATTTTAATGGACAAGTATAAAGAGAGCGTAAGTCTTCAGGTGAAAGTAAATTCAGTTTTAAAGTTTGTGGTACGTATGAGATAGTTACATAAACTATTGATTACTTGAAATATGGCAGTGAAATTGAGTGAAATGAATAGATAAGAAAGGAAGAGAGAAATTTTAGATTACTCTGAATAAAGTTGGTAGAGCTGGAAGACATTATGTTAAGTGAAATAAGCCAGGAACAGAAAGTTAAATGGTATATATTCTCACTCATGAGGAAGCCTTTTTCAAAGTGAATCTTACCAAAGTAAAAAGTAGTACAGAGGATACTAGAGGCTGTGAAGGGTAGGAAGAAGGAAGGCATAGGGAGAGATTTGTTAAAGGGCAGGAACTTACAGCTAGAGAGGAGGAATAAGTCCTAGTGTTCTATAGCAGTGTAGGATAACTGTAGTTAACACTAATTTAATATAGTTTAAAATAGCCAGAAGGAGGATATTGAATGTTTCCAACACAGAGAGATGATGAATATTTGAGATGGTGGATATGCCCATTACCTGATCTGATCATTACATTTTATATGTATCACGACATCACTGTATCATAACATCACTATGTATCCCATAAATATGAACACTTATTATGTGTGAATTTAAACAATTAAAAAAAATAGTGGAAAGGGGTTCTTATAGGGAGAGAAGATAAAGTAAAAAGGAGAAGAAATAAGTTGTTTACTAAGTGCTTATTTCTTGACATCCTTCTCTCTTTTCTGTATAAGGTTGCCCATTCATCTTCCTGAATCATAGCTCATATACCATACTCAGTTTTGGCTGTGTGGGAGGACATAGGAGAGCCTTCATTGCATTTGTATTTAAGGTTACATTAAAGAATGGATAGGATTTTGATGGATAAATAAAGGCAGGGATGGGAGACTGTAACAGAGCTAGTGAAGGAGAAGAAACTTAAAAAAATACTCAGAGATAATGCCATGATGATATTGTGTATCTCCTTAAATAGCAGAAGAGGATATCCTTCCGGTAGAATTCCATGATGCTAATGATGACTGTCCCTTACCAATTGCTAAGGCAGGAGCTTATGGCTAGGAGAAATATTAAACTTAATACTTGCTTCCTGCATGGAATGGTTTGCTTTTTTTCCGAAACAGTTATATCTGGGACCTGCTCAAAAGTGTGGGTTCCAAGGATAATGCTGTGGAAGGGAAGAGAAAAAGAAATCCCTTAAGGATGTATCCAAACTCTTCTGATATTCCAGACCTTCTACAATGTGGCTTGGTATACGTTATCAGTCTCCTGTCTTTTGACTCTACGTTGTTGTCCTCTTATTTCTCTGCTTTTCGCTTCCATTATTCGGTCTTTTTGACCAGAATGCCTCCCACACACTTGTCTATCTGCTTAAAATTAAGGTTTTTTTAAAAGTCAGGTTTAAATACCACCATGTTTGTAAAGATATCCCTCACAGCCTTTAAGCAGAATTGAGATTTTCCATCTTTGTACTTTTATATCCCTTAGTTTTTACTCAGTTTTAAACTCTTCTCTCATTGCATTAGCTGGCTTTTCATTTTGAGGCTCCTTGAAAGTATAAACACTCTAAATTTTCTTTCCAACACGAGACCCAGAAAATATCAAGAGTTGAAATTGTGCAGTAGTTATCACGACATGATTTTAGAGGGTCCAGGAAAATGAAGATGGATAAAAAGTTATCAAAGTCCTAAGAATGGCCTTTTTTAAAAACAAAATTTGTAATACTTATATGCTGTTTGGAAACAGATAAATCTGTCTTTTTTATTCTTTATTCGTTGGAGAGTAAACATTAAAATGATTCAGTGTGAGGTTGAGATGCTCATCGTCAGAGCTTTGAGTAACATGGTTAATTTAGAAAACCCAGTATGTGTTTAAGGTATATTTTGGTTCCGAATATGTAACAGACTTGTTTTAAAATGGTTCAGTTACAGTACCTGTTGTGGCCAGCAGATGCCTGCAAACACCATAAAATCATATTGAGCAGATGGTTTTGAAGAACATGCTGCTGGGTTTTGGAACTCGGTATTGCTAGTCTAGTAGGATTGCTTGTATTTGATTCTTTCTCTTTTAATTCCAGATGAAGAGAAAGTTGAAAAGACATCTCACTTCAAAGAAGGGGACATTTAATAGTTTCTTTTCTTGGGTATTACTTGAGAGTATGAGTGGACGTATTACCTGTATGTCATTTAAAAAATTTGGATTGAAATTATAAAAGAGAAGCAGTTGTAAATAGCGTGCCATTCCTTTTTGATAAGATCAAGAGAATTTCATTTTCATATGTCTTCTTTTTTTTTCTAACCAATACAGGAGATGTATTCAAAAGGAATAATTCCCCTTTCTGCTATATCAACAGTACGAGTTCAAGGAGACAACAAATTTGAAGTTGTTACAACACAAAGAACTTTTGTTTTTAGAGTAGAAAAAGAAGGTAAGATTATTTTTAACCCCATGAAATACTTACATTAATTTATGAGTAATCATATTAATAAATCAGTTAGGCTAGGAATGTCAAGAAACCTTTAAATATATTACTTTTTGATAACTTACATTTTAAAATTAATTTTTCAAATGCATAATGTTAAAACATAAATAAGTTGACAAGTTATTTGTTTTATCTTTCATCAACAAATATTTAGTGAGAAGCTATTGTGTGCTGAGGACTCATACGTTCTGGGTATACAGTTGTGAAAAAAAAGTGGACAAAATTCTCTGCTTTCATGGAGCTAGCCTTTGAGATGTTGCAAATAATGCAAAATGGTTATTTGATACGCAAAAACAATTTTTCTAACTATTAGTTGGTTTTATGGACATTTATGGCAGGCTTTAGCTCAGTGACTCCCAACCTTTTTGCACCAGGGACTGGTTTCGTGGAAGACAGCTTTTCCGTGAACTGGTTGTGGCAAGATGGTTCCTGGACGATTGAAGCACATTACATTTATTGTGTGTTTTAATTCTATTATTATTACATTGTATATAATGAAATAATTATACAACTCACCATAATGTAGAATCAGTGGGATCCCTGAGCTTGTTTTCTTGCAACTAGATGGCCCCATCTGGGGGTGATGGGAGACAGTGACAGATCATCAGGCATTAGACTCTCATAAGGAGCACGCAACCTAGATTCCCTGCACGCATATTTTACGGTAGAGTTTGTACTCCTGTGAGAATCTAATGCCCCTGGTGATCTGACAGGAGGTGGAGCTCAGGCAGTAATGCCAGTGGTGGGGAGTGGCTGTAGATGCAGATGAAGCTTCGCTGGCTTGCCTGCTGCTCACCTCCTGCTGTGTGGCCCTGTTCCTAACAGACCATGTAATGGTACCAGTCCATGGCCTGGGGTTTGGGGACCCCTGCTTTAGCTGACCGCACAGGCACAGTAATCATTCTATTGTAGATTTAGGAGCATCTTTTATATTTCTTGAATTCTTTTCATCTACATAATCTATGGGACACTGGATGGTAAAAGCTGATCCCAAAGATGGCACGTTTTCTGGATTGAGTTTAAATGTGTGTAGAGAAATCTTTTCTGAATTTTGTTTGAATAAGGGTCGGGGAGGACCCAGAGAAGTTGAAAGTTCTCTGTTGTGTATTTTATTTGATTATCATAATATGTCATTACTATAAATTTACTAGTTTTAGTAATTTAGGTAATACCATCTCATTAAGAATTATGATTTTAACTTATAGACAACTTTCATTTAGGAATAGATATATAATTCAACCTGATTTTTAGAAGTACTTCTTTGTGCTTTAATTATTTGAATAATAATGGTATAGGAAATTGACTGAATATCTGATATGTGCCAGACACTTTGCTAATTCTTCATTTTCACAACAGTCTTATAATGTAGGTAGTATTACAATTATTATCCTTTATTTTTTTGAGACAGAGTTTCACTCTTGTTGCCTAGGCTTGAGTGCAATGGTGCAATGTCGGCTCACTGCAACCTCTGCCTCGCGGATTCAAGCGATTGGTTCAGCCTCCCAAGTACCTGGGACTACAGGCATGCATCACCACGCCCAGTTAATATTTTTTTTTTTTTTGTATTTAGTAGAGACGGGGTTTCACCATGTTGGTCAGGTTGGTCTCGAATTCCCGACCTCAGGAGATCTGACCGCCTCGGCCTCCCAAAGTGCTGGGATTACAGGCATGAGCCATTGTGCCTGGCCATTATTATCCTATTTTTACAGATTAGAGTGTTCACCACTAATTGGAAATGACTACAGTGTTAACTATTATGGGGCAACATTTTCTTTATTTTAAACTGCTAGATTCCTGGCATGTATGTCAGTGCATAGCACATAAAAAGCAGTCAGTAAATATTATATACCACTAAAACATTTCCATTGTTTCTTGGGGTACTCAGTAAATGGGTACATTCCAGCAGGCCTTCACACTGGAGCAGCGTGGTTCAAACTGTGGATTACTGAGATCAACTTAGTGGTTTATGATGTCACCAGAAACACTCTCTCTCAATAAAAAGACAAACCCCAAACAGAAAATAATAAATATCAAAGTGCATTGCCTACAGTAGGTGTTATGTTGTGAAACATATCTATCTATGTACATAGTGTATAGATGTAGCATTAAAAAAAAGTTTCTTTCTTGGTTTTTAAAAATAATGTTGAACTAAAGCTAGAGTCCCAGAGTAGGGGTCAGCAAACTGATCTGCAGCCTTAATCTGGCTCAGTGCCTGCTTTTGTAAATGAAGTCTTGTTAGATAACAACCACTGTCATTCATTCATTTCTCATTCATTCTCACTCAGTGGTATCACTGAGTAGTTGTGGCACAGACTGCGGCCAGTAAAGCCTAAAATGTTTACTATTTGATTTTTCAAAGAAAAGGTTTGCAAACCCCTGCCCTCAAGCATTTTACCTAGAATTACCTGTATGTATGAGGAGCCACTTTTTGTGAATTACTGTCTGAAATTCAGAAAATTTTCCACAGTTGTGATACTTGATATGGGACTTCCATTTGAAATCACAGTTTTTCTCTTACTCTATTTCTTGAAGAACGTGGCATTGCTTCTCTTGAATGACTATCCTGGCAGTCTTTCCTTATGGTTTGGTTTCCACCACCGTGAAAGTTAGCTGCCCGTTTCTTTGAGGTGCTTATCACCTTTCTCTTGGCCTCTCCAAATAAATTTCGCATTGCTACATAGCCTGCATTTTAAGATAGACATACTAAATAAAGCTTCCAACTTGTATGAAAATCTGTTTAGCCATATTTACTAAGTTAAACAGACACGTTTTATTTAAGCAGAGTGTACCAACCCACACATGTTTAAAAGTTGCATGTTCACAATTGACAGATAAATCCTTCTGTGGTGTATAGTTCATCTTTGTTATATAAACTTAGGACAGTATAAAAATTTCATGAACTTCAGTATAAATTTATTGTTTTAAAAATCAGTTGTAGGTCTTTAATTTTTGAAACCATAGACATATTGCTTCAGTGAAAACAGACTGTATACACATGGAATTAGTGAATGAGTTATTTTGATTGAAAGTTATTTTTACATAGTAACAACTCACAATTTTAAAGATAAATATGTGTAGCGGTGTGTGTACATATATGTATATGTATATGTATATGTTTATGTATCCGTATGTTTAGTATGGAACTTTCAACAGTATACTAAATATGTTTTATTAAGTGATCTTTTTTCCTTCCGTGTACACAAATGATTGATTGTTTTTATTTTTTGGGAATTGGTAGATCAACTATAGTGGCTTAAGGACTTTGACTTAATGAACTTTAAGCTAAATTAAAGTCTATTTTGATTGAGGGAAGAAGCAAAATCAAAGTTTAGAACAAAAAGGAAAAAGTTTTGTCATCTTAACAGATATGAATTCTTTATTTTTGGTGAAAAGGCTTTGACCTATCTACAATAGCTATTCTTTGTCTTCCCTGACCAGTGTTATTATTTCTAAACTGCTGCATCACCCCCTGGTGTTACTAAGACAGGATTATAGTTTGGAATCTTTTCCTCGCAAGTTTTCTAAGGCTTCTATTCCCCTCCCCCCTGTTTCCTAATGAAATATTGTTCTTCTCTTAGTTTCAAGTGAATTTTATTGAAATAATAACATTTTAAAAGAACACTTCCCCAAGTACAAAATTTGGTCTGACTGCTGTTGTTCTGAAGCAGAGTCACTGGAATTGGTCTGTGGGTCATAACAGCTATTGATCTCTCCAATCAGTCTGTATTCCTTTGCACCTGTAAGTCACACATGGAGATATGATACTTCAAAACACTCGTGATGTTTTGAGTGCACAGTTCTCATGGTTAGAAGAGAGCTTAAGAATTTTGAGTGGGCATTCCCTTTCCAAGGCCATTTTCAGAACTGGCACTCACCTGCAGGCCCTATGCTGCTGTCCACCTTAGCAGATTCTAGACCCTGTGGCTGTCTCTCAATTCTGCTTTTAGACAACATCATACAGCCATCCAGTGGCAGCTCTGATACTGATATGGAAAAGTCTTTGTTTTAATTTAAAAATTTTTTAGAAGAACATATAAATGCCCTCCTTAGTTGTTTTTGGCAAGCAGACTCTTACCTCTTTTGAAATCGTCAATGTTTTTATAAGCAAGGCATGAAACATTTACTATCCCTTTACTTACTCACCCTCCTTAATCTCATTAATGATGATTTGCTAAGTGTTTCCTTTGAAGACTTCATGATATTCTGGAAGTTTCTGACATAATGTATTTTAGGAACTTGCTAGGACTCCAAATTCTGTTTAAAATGTTCAATCGTGGGGCCCCAAGTCTGGTTTTGAAGGTGATCTCTTGGTTTTAGGGTGACTGATGTCAAATATGTATCTCCATCTCTGACCTCTTCCTGTACTCCATGGTCATATCCAGCAGCCTACTTGACATGTCAACATGGCTGCCTAGTAGCACCTCACACTTAATGTATCAAAATTCCCATTTCCACCTGCTCAACCAGACTTTCTCCCTTGTAATCTTCCTCATCTCAGCATATAGAAGCCTCAGGTGCTTAGGCCATGAAGTGTGGAGTTATTCTTGAATCTTTTTCTTCTCACTTCACATCTAGTCCATCAGCAAATCTTGTCAGTTTGACTTTGAAAGTGTGTTTAGATGCTGACCAATTCTCAACAACTCCGCTGCTATCAGAATTGTTTTAATCATCTCTCATGATCAACTGTTGTCATATTTTTCCTGTACTTGTCAGAGCAGTTATTCAGTAAGGAAGTCAAATCATGTCAGTTCACTTTACATGCTCCATGGATTCTGCATCTTTTTTTTTTTTTTTTCCTCCTTTTGAAATGGAGTCTCGCTCTGTCACACAGGCTGGAGTGCAGTGGTGCGATTGCGGCTCACTGCAACGTCCACCTCCCAGGTTCAAGTGATTCTTCTACCTCAGCCTCCCAAGTAGCTGAGACTACAGGTGTGTGCCACCACGCCCAGCTAATTTTTTGTATTTTTAGTAGAGATAAGGTTTTCACCATGTTAGCCAGGATGGTCTCCATCACCTGACCTTGTGATCTGCCTGCCTTGGCCTTCCAAAGTTCTGGGATTACAGGAGTGAGCCACCGCACCCAGCCGGTTTCTGCATCTTACTGAGAGTAAAAAGTACTTGTGATGTCCAAAAACCCCTGCATGATCTGGCCTTGGTCTTTCTGTCCTATCTTTTTCTGTTCCCTTTCTCCTGTACTATGGTTGGTTCACCTACAGAGGCCTTTTGTTCCTTGAATACACCAAATCTGCTGTTATCTCAGGGCCTTGTTACATGTTCACCTTATCCTGGAATGCTCTTCCTCTGCCTGCTCCTCAGCTGGGATCTGCTTCTTTACTTCCTCTTCCTTTAGGTTTTTGGTTAACCATCCCCTTCTTCTGAGGCTTTTTATGTATCCTGTACAAAATAGCACTCCCTGGGCCCCTCATCTTGTGTATGTTACCAATTGCACTTGCCACTTTGTAATGTATATTTAAGTTTATATGGCCTTCCTCCTTTCACTAGCGTGTAAACTTCCAGGAGAGTAAGGTCATGGTCAGTCTTGTTCACTGTTCCATTCCTGGTATTCAGAATAGGTTTTGGAACATAGTAGGCTTAGTGAGTATTTGTACGAGTGAGTGGCTATCAATTTGAAGAACAATCCTTATGTGCATGCACTACTTCCTTCTCTGATATTGATCAGGAATTTCATTGAGGGAACTTTAGTTAGATCATACTATCATATCAAAAGTAAAGGTCCATCTAAACTTTATTAGATAATGTTGTTGATGTTTTGCATGGCCCTTATGTAGTAATCTCTAGTGTAACCAATCCCTTGTTACTAAGGAGTATGCCTACTGCTAAACCCAGTAGTCCAGAGAATATTGTCTCGATTTTTCTTAAACCTCTTTTTTTATTATTATTGTTCTTATACTCTAAGCTGCCGTTCCTGAAACCATCAAGAACTGATTTGAGGTTTTAGGAATTTGCTATTGTATTTTATTTACATTCTAGCATAATCACAAAAAACTGGCAATTTCAACACTTATTCTTTGTGTTCTCCACTCCCTTTCTTTTTGTCCAGCCTGGAATGCTATTCTTAGAGCCAAGCCATATCTAGGTCAGAGCTTATTTCCTGGAGAAATGGTGCTTAGCACAGTGCTAAGATCAAGATAGACACTCAATAGATATTTGTTATTGGAAAGAATAAAAAGTATCTTGGTTTGAAGAACAAGCAAAAGCTAGCACAGTATCTGACTTTGCCCTAGACTCTTGTCCAGCAGGAAATCATTATTTGGTTTGGAATGTTGTGACTTATGAAAGCATATTCCCCCATATCTCAGGATGCACACATTGTATGGCCGAATACAGATGATACTTGTAATCTGTTTTATTGTGTTTGGATTATCTGTTCCATTGTTTCTTTCCATTGGCATGGGTAATTCAGAATAAACTGAATGTTACTATTAATTCCTGTTCTTCGTCATGATTGTTTACTTCCTTTTAGTAACTGAGGCCCTCAGGAGCTAGATAATTCTTCTAGGCTACGTGTTGAGATGCAGCCAAAGTAAGCTTAATTCCAACAGGTGCAATTGCCAGTTTTAAATTAATTCCTGAGAAACTGAAATATATGCTAGCAGTAATCTAAAAGCCATAGACACTTAGGCCCAACTCATTAAATTATGACCTACGTTTCAAACACAGTGGTTTATATGGATTAGCACAAATAAAGAAACAAACAACCATTATGTACCATTTACTTGGCAGGAATATCTTGTGTGAAACTAATGATCACAAGTAATAACCAAGTTAAATGGAAGGTCTGTTGCTGTAACTGAAAATGTAATAAATTATTGTAGTGCAATCTGGATCTGTTTATGCAGATGGAAAAATGTAGAATAGCTGCTGCATATTGACATTGACTTAGCTACTTGAATATTTTAATGTCTTTTAGTTTAGGATGTATAACAATACTAGGGACATTTGATAAATATTTCATCCTGATATATTGCAACAAGCAGGAATTCCTTTTTTTTTTTTTTTTTTTTTTTTTTTTGAGACTAAGTTTCACTCTTGTTGCCCAGGCTGGAGTGCAGTGGCACGATTTGGGCTTACTGCGATCTTAGTCTTCCGGGCTCAAGCGATTCTCATGCCTCAGCGTCCCGAGTTGCTTGGCTTACAGGCATCTGCCACCATGCCCAGCTAATTTTCTGTGTGTGTTGTTAGTATAGACTGGGTTTCACCATGTTGGCCAGACTGGTCTTGAGCTTCTGACCTCAAATGATCCTCCCCTCTTGGCTTCCCAGAGTGCTGGGATTACGGGTGTGGGACACCACACCCAGCTATCAAGCACCAATTCCTGGAAGATTGTGTGACACCTGCAATAACGTACTATTGAATAAGTTTTTAAATAAACATTTTGACTTTGGTCATTAAAGACACAATCAACTGTTTTTATTAGTTTTGAAGGTGAACAAGAACAATTATAATTGAAAAAGTAAGACTCATTATGAAATAACTGTGGAGTCATGTTTAAATATGAGTAAGTTTAATATGGTAACTTATTTCAATCCACAATTAAGTCACTGGGCAGACCTGTCTGAGAAGGATCTGAGAAACTGTCCCATTTCCCAAACTGGGCCCTGCTTTCTCCTCTTCCTTCATCCTGTGAAAACTTTTACTACCTGTGATTCAGTATGTTTTGCTTTATTTCCTTTTGCTTTGACAACTACTTCTGCCTATGTTCTGGTAGCACAATTTCCAGCCTTATAGATATAGTTGTACCTCAAGGTTTGCCAGTTTCTTCCCGTTTTACACTTCATGTTTATTCATTTCCATGGGTCTTCTCGTGTACAGGTTACTGTTGTTCACACAGTGCTATCAGTCTGCCTGTATCCTCAAGGCACGACACTGAAAACCTGAGGTGGTTCTGTTAACTAATTGGATTCTGCTTGTTTGCCTGGCCAATTTCTGATGCCACATTACTTTTATTCTAAGTAATTTGTTTTTCTTATCAACACCCATCATGTTTGTACAACTAATTTTTTTCACTTTCCTTTATGCCTTAATTCCTTGTAAGTCATTTTGTTTCCATTTTCACAGTATTTTAAGTCTCCGTTGCCTGGTTCCTGAGCTTCAGGCTTCCAATGTAGTCTACCTGTCATTGTCTGTATTATCATAATGTCTTTTTATTGCTAAGAATGCTGAAATGGCTTTCCTTTGTAATAAAGACAACATTCCTAAACAGGCAGTATGAATTCTGTGGTCATATTCCCATTATTTCTGTGTGAGTTCAGAATTATAAATATATTCATTGATAAATTATCCCTGAATGGATGTTGGTTTTTCTGCCTTTGTTCTTATAGTAACCTCTGCTCAGAATCCTATTATCTTCCCTCTTCCAAATTCCAGTTTTGTCTTTTGAATTGCTCTTCATTCTCAAGATCTACCACATGTACCTCTTTTTTACCCCCATGGTTCCAAGAAAAGTTGTTTGAGAGTTAAAACATGTGATTCTGCTTATTTTAAAGCTAACTTGCTATATGACCTTCAGCAAATCACTTATCTCAATTGACTCATATATTATTTGATACCATTTATATGACATTTATACCACTGTGTTCCATTTTGTGTTCAAATCTTGTTTGACTTATAGCTTTAATTGCTCCTTGGAGACTAGATCGAATTCCTATGCCTGTAACACAGTGCACTGTTCATAATTGAAGGTCATTTAGTTTTGTGGAAGGAGTAGGAGAACCAAATTTTAATTTGCCAGGTGAAATGCTATTGTTAATTACTGTGTTGAGAGTGGAATGGGAAAGTGACACTGAAGCAGGTATACTCTAGAGTGGGTTCCAAATGATTGTTTGAAAGTAGGATTTTCGGGGTCTTTGAGTAACTGACTTGAAACATAAAAGCCGTTAATTGTTGGGTAGCAATATCACATTCTTCTATTAAAAGAAAATCTAATCTAATGAATGATCTAAAAGAGGGCTTCTCAGATATTAAAAGGGATAAGGAGCATCTGTAGTTCTTTTGAAAATACAGCCTGTGATTCATCAGGTCTGGAGTAGGGCCTGAGATTTTGCACTTCTAATAAACTCTCAGGTAAAGCCAGTGGAACTCATTTCACGAAAACTGGATAGTGTTACTCCTTTTCCCTCAAAGAATTGAGTCATTTGCTGTGTTTACAGTAACATTTAGATTGTAGTTGTGGAAAGACTCTGTCACTTATGTGTTGCAAAGAGCGTGGATTTCTTCTTGACGTTTCTGTATCTATGTGACTTATATATGGATTTATGTGTTTTCTCCTGTCTTTATTTTCAGAGGAGAGAAATGACTGGATCAGCATACTATTAAATGCACTGAAATCACAATCCCTTACCTCACAGTCTCAAGGCGTTGTTACACCTGAGAAATGTGGATATCTTGAATTGAGAGGCTATAAGGCAAAAATTTTTACTGTGTTAAGTGGAAACAGTGTGTGGCTTTGCAAAAACGAACAGGTGAGCTCTGTTATAGTCATTACAAATTGCTGCTATTTTATTGTAGTAACAACTATGTTTTGTTTGGAAGAATTATTAGTGATTTTACTTATAGAGTCTTGTTTTGGCATTGTGTACTCCACTAAATATACCGAAGAAATAGTGATTTTGTTGAAGTTTCTTGGTGTCTCCACCAGCAAGAAAGTACCTACATCAAACTTGAAACTGGACATCACCTTTTATGGTATTGAGGAAGTAAAATTATTGAAAATAAGTTTTGAAAAATATTATTTGGTTGAAATAACATTATACAACTACATGAGAGAACAATTAAGGACCAATGAACCATTACAGCTGGTGATGAAATAGGACCCATTCTGCACCCTTTTATTTTTATGATAGATAATTGTAGGGTAAACACAGGTAACATATTTGCTTGAGTTTTCAGAATGTTGGTCTGTTTTATTTTGAGCAGATGTATGTGAGATAGATAGATATATATACACACACACACATACATATACATATACATACACATCTATATAAGTACAAATTCAAGTGCACATACATACATACATCTACCTATACACACATATCACATATACATAAATAAAATCAATTCAAATGACTGGTTTACTAAATTTGATTAATATCAGAGGACTCAATAGAGTATTTAAATGTTTTGATGAGTCTGATGATAAACTAAAATTTTAACAAATCCTGTTAGCTTCATTTCATTCCATAGACTTTTTTCTAACATTCCTTGTTTTTAATATGTATATGTTTTTAATATGTATAATATATAATTCTTTACCCCTTTTGTTGGAATACCTCCTTTTAAAATCTTTCAGCCTAGAATATATTAGATGCTTAATAATTGTGGAGTTGAACGGTGCACTTTAGTTAGCTGATCTAAGATGAACTCATTTTATGATACCTTATTATGGGTTATAGTAAGTTGAAATATAAATGCCGACTATTTTTATGAGAAAAATAGGAATATCAAAACAAATAGTAGTTTCAGAACAATTAACTATAGGCATCCTCTGAACTTTAGTGTGAACTTACGCATTGAATATTTTGGAGGAGAGGATATCTTAGCCAATTAACAGTTGAAGGCATCATAGAGCACTCTTGGCCTATTAATAATGTGAGTAGTTAGTATGTTTCTCAAGAATAGCTTAATAATGTGTACAAATTGAATATGAACATTTCAGTCTACAAAATAAGATGATTGCAACTTTTCTTATTGGAATGGAGGTTAAAAATGCATAATTTGCATGTATCAGTATGGAAGTTACTCTTCCAAATTAATTGAGGTATTCAGTTTACACTTGCATAGACCTGATAGCAAGATTTGATAGACTTGCATAGAGTTCATATGATTAATTTCATTGCTCACATTAAACTGTCTGAGTTTCTGTTATTCTCTAGGAATACGATAGATATTTTAAAAGTTTTATTAACACTTTCTGATTAGTGAAAATGTACATGAAATTATTGCTTCAGTATTAGGAATTGAATGTGAAAAGCATAATGAATACTATTTGCTGAGTACCAGGTACAATGGTAATTTGTAGACATTTCCTTTTAATCTTCACCACAACTATAGGAGGAAGACATTTTTTGTCTATGTTTTGTAGATGAGGAAAATGAAGATTAAGTAATAGGTCTAGGAATTACAGTTTATAATGCAGAGTTAAGTTTAAAACCGGAGCTGTATAACTCTAAGTCTACCTTCTTAACTGCTCTACAAACTCTCTTTTTAAAGTCTAGGTTGAAGAGAAATTTTCTGACTTGGGAACTTTTAGAAATAGCCTAAGGATTCTTTCACTGAATAATTTAGTTGTCCAGGAGTTTCAGGGTATGCTTTCAATAAACATTGTATACCATGTCAGGCACACTAAAAATGATGGGTTTACTGAGAAGAAGGATACAAGTCTTGTCTTCCAAGAGGAAAAGTCAAGACCAGAACATATGATGGATGGTGAGTTCAGTGCAATAATAGGTTGTACAGGAGTTACAGAGAGGTGCAAAAAAAGGGCATCTAATGAAGTCAGTGCATTAGAGGCATTTCTATGTACATAAGTAATGAGTATATTCTCCTTAAAAATTAAAGCATTAAGGCTGAACCCCTTTCCATCTTTTGATAAGTAAACATATTTTTATGCTTGTATACAAGGTCTTTTCTATGCATTAACATATATATATATATGCGTGCGCGCACACACATCTTTAAATGTATACTATTTGTGTATGTGTGTGTGTGTTTAATTGCATTATATCGCATGGATTCAGGTCTTAAGGGACTTAATCTTTAGTCAGTCTTAAAGAACTAGTTGACTCAAGAATGAGCCAATAAGAAAGGCTGTCCACGTTCAGACCCTGGCATACCATTCCGTTTTCATCTGTTTTTGCATCCTGGTATATGTCTTTTTCCCCAGAGGAAAGTTGCCCATTGGTTTTCTCCCATGATGGAGCACATGTGAAAAACCTGGTGACATGCTGAGTAATGGGTCAGAGGGCTTTCTGCCAGTGAGGGCAACAACCTGTGTATTAGGAAAAGCACTAAACAATCCTAAGATGGTTTGATTCAACTTCGAAAAGTTTTATACAGACACACACACAGAGTAATCTTGTGTATTTTTTTAAAGATGATGAAATGAATACATTTATCATAACAATGTAAGTGATGTTAGATTTGAACCTCTGTATCTTAATTTGTGTTGGATTTAATTTAGTGACATGCAACGAGGCTCAATTATTTTTATTTTAAAATGGGATTTATCGCCCACATAATGGCACGAATAGAATAAAAAAAATGAAATTGACCTACACCACCCTAACATAGGAACTATTTTTATTTTTCTTGCCTCTGATTTATACATAATTTTACTAATTTACTTTGGCAGTTACTCCAGAGAGAGTAAACAGACAGTGGCTAGAGGTAGAAGGGTAGCTACTACAGCAAATGTTGAAGAGTTATTAAAGAGGAATCTCATTTATTGCAAAGAAGATTGGACTGGGAGGTTGCAGTTATGGGTTTTTATTCTTGTTCTACTATTAATTGGCTCAGGTAATTAAGTTAGTCTCTTTAGGTTTAAATGGCATCATGTGAAGAAGGGAGATGGATTACTATCTCTAAGGCCATTACTTAAGTTGCAAGTTAAAAATTCAACATTTCTGAGCTCGTTTCAGATTTGTTAATTCACAATTTCTGGAAGTGGGTTGTAGAATCTGAATTCACAAAAAACACCGCAGGTGATTCTATAATGGATGAGCCAAAAAACACACATTGTAAAACACTGCTCTCAGTTGTTTTCTTTAAAACAACTTAAAGCCTATCTTTAGACTTTAAGACGAAGTGGAAATAACTATGAAAAGATTTGTAAAATCATTTGTTAGGGTGGAAAATGGCATAGGAGAAACTGACACTCAGATTCTTTACCTAATTACCATGCTGCAAAACAGTGGGGTGCTAATATCACATAAATTAAATGTAATCCCTTTAATATTTAGCACCATTTCACAACTGCATTCTGCTTTAATTTTTGCACATTTTCTCCCATTCTTTATCTCTGCTTATGTTTTGGATGCCTGCAATGTGTTATAATATGACAGTTTTTTTCATATTATTATTTCAGCATTGTATACAATGACCTGGGTAATTGGGTTTGTATAGGTTACACTATAGTGACCATGTTTCTGGATTCATTCATCCACGTGACACATGTAGGGGCATTTTCTCATTTCTGGGCACTGCTCTAGACATGAGGGGTACAGTGGTAACCCACAAGATCTCTGCTTTCTGGGCCTTCCTGTTGGGGTAATACATAGTGTTAAATAAATCAGTGAGGTTTCTGGTAACCTTCAATATGTAGCCTTGACTTCCTTTCTGATGATGATGATGATTATTATTATTGGCAAGAATTTCTATGACCCCTTCCTCAAGAGTAGTTTACATTGAAAATGCTACAGCTGTGTGATAGGCATCTAGTTACATTATAACCTGAAAAGTGTGAGATTTATCATTTTTATATTCCCAAATCGACAGTGTGAATATTTACTTTATTCACTGCTGTGTCCTCAGGCAATAAGCTAGCACTCAGTAAACATAGGTAGGGTGAACTTGTTGAATTAATGATCAATTATAACTGTTTTTTTTGACAGGAGAGTTTTTTTTCCCCTCCAATTCTCTTTTAAAATGATTTTTTCTCAAATTGTCTCTTCATCTTCTTTGTTCGTTTATTTATAGGGATCTTATGTCTTTCTTGCTAATTACTTTATGCTATTTATATAAGAGAGACATGAATCTTCATATTTTCTACAATTTTTTTCTGAACTATTTTGCTTTTCATTTGTCAGTTACTTTTTGTTTTGTAGAAATTTTGTTTCTGTAACTAAAGTGTTTTTTAATCAGTTCAAAGCTAATAGAGCTTCTGTATTCTGGAACAAAAATTATTTTGTAAATTATTTATCCTGAAATGATAGGGGTGTAGTGTGTAAGTCAGAATTTTTTAGAGTTTAAATAAGGTAATCAAATATGGACATATATTTACATATGTGAATTCTTAAATAAGTGGTATTGGTAGTTGAAAGGAATTTCTGCAAGTGGACATGAGGAAGATTTAAGACAACCGGCGTTGGTTTCCATTTGTTCTGTTGTCCTGTCAGCCAGTCTCCCTTCTTCTCTTGATACTTTTTTTAATGTCATGTTAATATTAATGAATTCATTAAAACCAGATGTCTTACTTGGTGGGTTTGGTATCCTGCTGATAATTGTGGCATTGAGGTTTTAACTACATAAACTCACTTGATTAAACATTTTCAAATCAGGGTATAACAAGAGACTCATCCTCCCTCATTCCCCCCAACATAATGTTCCCTGGTGTTCTGGCATGGGAGTGAAACTCTAATAGAATTTAAATAGACCTCATAGGGCGACGGGTTGTGTGGCACAGAAAGGAGCAGCAGGATGGAGGTGGTGGCCTCAGATTCTCTGGGTTCTGTATCTGGCCAAA